GGATGGAAGGATGGAAGGATGGAAGGATGTGCAGATGGATGGACTGACAAATGGATGGACAGGACAGATGGGATGGATGGACAGATGGACACATAAACGTATGGATGGGTAGACTAATGATTGAACCTATACTCCTGATATTAAATCTTCAAAGATTTAAACCTCTGTTAGTCCAGATCTGTAAAACAGAAAAAAATAATGGGATTAGATATTCTTGTATTAACATATGCTTAAATACAAGATGATTTTCACTACCCATTCCTATCATCTTGCTAGGCGTACATGTTAAAACAATGATCATAAAAGACTTTTTTTTCTTTGAACCTCAGACAAAAACTCTAGTAGAAAAATAACTATAGAGTTTTCAGACGAGTATTTTTTCCCTGCAAATTACCCATGCAAGAAGTGTTTTTGATGTGCCAATTGTTTTGCCTTTCCCTTAAAGATTTTTCTCTGGGATCTCAAGCTTTTGTCTCACCATGCACGATGCTTGCATGGTGGGATGAAAGCTGGAGATCCCAGAGAAAAACCCTCAAGGGAAAGGCAAAACAATTGGCAAAGACTAGTTGACAATTATTTGTTTCCATAGAGTAATAAATATATATAGGAGAGAACAAAGTGGTAGTTACAGGGAAGGAAAAGCACTTCTTTCAAAAGGTAGGGTGTACAGGGGGCGGGGGAGTAAAGCCACCCAAGCACCTCCCCCAGCTCTGTTTCCGGGAGGGAGGGGTATTCCCCTATATTCACTATGCATGTATGTGCCGCCAAACAGGGTATGGTTTTCAGCGATGCTACTCTAGAACAGGGTATTAATTTCTGCAATTTTACTCTGGAACAGGATCAGGGTTCAGAGGGCTCAGCGGCACATCCCTACCCTAAACAGGCAAGAGTACCCCCCTGGCCTCTGTTTTCTCTGAGTGAGTTTCTTTGCTGTCGGATTGCATTATTTTATTAAGCATCTGGTTAGGGAGATGGTAATGGCAGGCAGTCATCATGATCTAAAATAAATATTTGATATTTAAATTTGATTATTCTAAATCTAAATCTACACGTAATTCTTTAATCTGCAAAGGTTGCCTATCACTACGCAAGTCATATAAAATAATACAAATTACAAAGAAAATTTATTTAAACTTACTCTCCAGAAACGTCACCAGTGTTGAGACTGGCAATAAACTGGTCTTCATTGACTGAAACTGGGTAGTACGAGGGTAGTTGTGGTTGCGAGAATCTCACAAAACAAGGTATTTGAACAATAAATTGCATCYAACCAGAGTGTTCTAATTCTGCTAGTCGTTCAGGAGATGGCAGGCAACAGTTGAATGCATCATACTTGTCTAAGATAACTCGATCAAGAATAAATAAAGTAAACATTCAACAACAATATATACCACACCATTCTCACAGGCGTACWTTTTCCCTTTCCCATAGTACCAAAGTATCTAATTATTTTCCAATTATAGCCCTACCAGCCCTATTATAGACCAAATGCAAAACTCGCACCGATGTGAGGCTTAAGTTGTGAACAAAGGGATCTGGCGTGATTCAAAGCAATCTGGCGTGATTCAAAAGTCACGAATCATGCCAGATCCCTTTGTTCACAACTTAAGCTCACATTAGTGCGCGTTTTGCATTTGGTCTATACTAGTCCTCAAAAAACTGACCATGAAATCAGATGTTGTCTGTTGCTCTTTTTTGTTAATACGACAAAGGATACAAGCATATCCAGCAATAATCCCTCCAATATGTAAAAAAACTGARCCTTGATGGAACCCAAAGTAATAAATAACAACACAAAGCCATGGAACTAGTGAAAATGGAATTTTAAAGATGCCAATTCCACAGTCTTTTAGCCCATTAACCTTTGACATAATGACTATCAGTCCAAACACAACACCGGAAAATCCCAGACTGCAACCATGGAACAGGTCATGGAAGACATGATATAACATCGTTGCCATGGCAACTTCGAGTGCGACAGAAGTGACCCAGCATGCAATCAAGACCAGGAAGAAAAGAATACTCCCAATTTGGCGTTCAATTAGCGTTCCAAGAATTAACAATGGAAACATTGTGATGAGCAAGTGCCATGGTCCTTTGTGGAAAAATACATGGGTGAAAAGTCTGTAAACTGGGAGAAAAATGAAAATGATTTTAAAGTAAATGATAACAATGGTCTCTATATATACAGGGGAGTTTCAGAGTCTTTGGGAAAGTTTTGACTCTTCTTCCCTGCTAGCAGAGCCTATTTTCCTTTTTTTTTGGTTGAGAGAGAAAAATAGACTCTGCCGATGAAGGATGTTATTTCTGTTGCGCATGCGTGGCGTAACTTAGCAACGCTATCATGATTTTGACAGCCGCTCTCGTCAAACAATGTTTGGCGCCACGGTGTCTTACATTTGCTCATGYGCACTACGTGYAATTGGTTAAAAAACGGTTTTAAAACTGGTTTTGTTCGTCCACAATCGTGGACGGCGGTGTATCAAAGGAAATGCTCTACATCGGCAGAGTCTCCTTCCTCACCGCCTGAAAGAAGGGAGAGAAAGAGAAGAGAGACTCTGCTAGCAGGAAAGACTGTTCTAAAGGGCTAACAAAACAAAGTTCTATAAATTTCCTGGGTTTCACTGACGTCATTTCCTGGCTCGTGTAGAATGTTCATCCAAGCTGAATCGTAATTTTTCAATATCATTCTTCCTGGTTGACAACACATGGTTCAGTCTGTGTTAGACCACCATTTGGACCAGATTGAATATGATAATTCAAAGACCTATTTTCTTATTAACTTACTTTCACCAGATCGCACAATCCCGTGAGGACTGAGGCACAAATGCTTATGCTTAGTGCCAATTCGTCGGTGAAAATTCACCAAAAACAAAGAACAGCAAATAAATACACAACAGAGAGTTACAAGAGGTATTCGGAAAAATCTGCACAACTTTTGATCGCGAGCCATGATGACGTATTTCTGAAAAATACAGGAAAAAATTATGATTTTCAAACCAGTTAAAACTGTTTGAAAATCATTCTTCTATTGATTTCATGCGTTTCAGAAACTTTCTTTGAAACATTTTTTTGAAAACGAAGAAAGTTAAGGAAATAAAAATAAATAAATGAAAACACTTTAATGTCAGCGGTAAAGCGCTCCTAAGATGCGTATCAATAAYAATGCGCAGCACGTTTTGTACACAGCCGCTGATTAGTTGTCAAAGTTTCTTTAATTTCTATTTTATGAAATGTGAARTTATTAGCATATAATATTATCCTTTTTATTGCCAAAATGAGGTTTGCACAGCTTGTTATGGGTCCTGCGGGAAGCGGAAAGGTATTGATAAAGACGATCTTAAAACAAGTTTAACTAATGTTTACATTTTGGATGTTCTTTCCACACCATCACTTTCTCACCATTTTTTTCTCATATTTTTCGTTTTCAAATTATGATAACTATTTCATAAACTGAGTCATGATTTATATAAATCTCAGTTTTCAGTTTGATTTCTATTGCATCATCCAACAATAACTGTTAATTAAGCGGGATTTCGAGAATAGAAAATGGAAAAATTTTTTACCTGGAGAAATAAATGTAAATTTATCTATCAATTTCTTGATTTTTAGTCTACATACTGTGATGTTATTCATAAACACTGTGAGAATATCGGACGAAGTGTTCAGGTAGTCAATTTGGATCCTGCTGCAGAACACTTTAGTTATCCTGTGGCAGTCGGTATGTATCTGAAGTTGTTTCTTTATTACAAATATAAAGGGTTGTGCACAGGTTTCCAGTCAAACCCTTGTCATGTGCATGGAGGGGTGGGGGGTGGGGAGGAAGGGGACTGGAGATAGGTGGGAAGTAGGGCATATATGGCACTCAGGATTACATCCTGAATCCACTAGGGGAACAACTGGTCAGTTGAAAGYACTCCATCATGCCCACCACCACACAGTCAATCACAGCCCTGGCACGATCCTCAACTGAGCCAGACTGACAGTATGTGATTAATAAGAAGACCTCCTTCCAGTCCACACCATCGCCCRATGAAGACTAGCCATCGCAGTCACAACATTGCRGTCCAMTTAACRTCCATGATCATGAGACAAACAAACTATTATAATCTTTAATATTGCTTTTTTCAWTAGAYATAAGGGAACTTGTTGAGCTGGATGATGTAATGGAAGCTGAAGATCTTAAACTTGGTCCAAATGGAGGCCTGATATTTTGTTTAGAGTATGTACTTAACCCAATGCTGTTTCAAACTTTGAGTTTGCTGTTTCAGATGAAAATTTTACGTGTYTTTATACATGACCGTTAGGCAAAGAAATGGTACTCTAAAGGGAATATAATATTATTATWATTATTATAATATTATTATATTATGTCTGAAATGGGAAAACATTATGCGTAAGGTAAAAGGCCATAAGGTATATTGCTATATCATGTATAATATATATACTGTATACCTTTTTTACAGTGCGACTACTCCAACCAAAGCCACCTCGACAAATTTTCCACAAATTAGCCAATCAAAAGTAGGAATCTGAACAATAGATTAATATTGCTACAAATCAGACAAATATCCATGGGTTTACACAGCTTAGAAGAATGCCAGCACCTTTGTTGTCGAATATAAACATGCTGTCGCATAGCAACATAGTGATAAGATCTAACAGTGTCAGCCTGATAATATCTTTGTCTGGAAGAAACAAACTGTAATCATATAGACTGTGTTTTATASGGTCTCTAATTTGCTTTCCGGCCGTATTTGAAGTCGTACATTATTATTTTTCTACAGTATATCTTTGGTGACACAAATCACTAATTTGCAAAGAAAACATATTACAAGCTCTTCTTCATCATTTAGTTTTACCAACCGAAACAACGGAAAGAATATTTAAATTCAAAATTTGCTGCTAATCTATTGTCTAAATACTCAAACACTATTAGATAATTTGTGGAAAATTTGTCGAGGTGGCTTTGGTTGGAGTAGTCGCACTGTAATAGTTGTTAAATCTTGTTTTAGGTATTTCGTCAAAAATTTGGAATGGCTTCAAGAGCAGCTTGGGGAAGGTGATGAAGATTACATTCTCTTTGACTGTCCAGGTAAACATAACTTACTCTGACTTGAATAATAATATTAAGAATGTAGTTGCAGCATTTACAGTGTAACTACTTTAACCAGSACCACCTAGGCAGCAAGAACCAATCAAACTGTAGAATAAAARACATTACATTCCAACTTTTGRTTGTAGTAGAGTCAATAGCCTTCAAAYATCCTTTTATTTCCATGAGAAAATGATGAAGCTAAAGTATATATTTGTTTACAGTAAACTATAATCTAAGACTGGCTTAGCTTGCATAAATACACTRGGCTCCAAAATTTTTAATTAATTTTGGGTAGGTTTAGGTTTAGGTGAAAACAGCRCAAATGCTAGAGCGAGAATAAATTACCTCTGGACCACAGGTTATCAGTCATGCACAAGCAAATATTTTAAATGTATTTTCAACTTAATTTTACAGTACCTGGTAACATTTATAAAGGTTTTACCCCGGGGGGGGGGGGAACTCCAGGAAAAAAGTACCAGGGATGCTCGTGGTATCTCTTAGGGGTAAAAATTTGTGATTTGGTATCTTTTAGGGTGTTAAATGCAAAGTTTTGAAAATCAGCATTTTCTGGTATCTCTTAGGGTGTCGGAAAAGGAGAGAAGCACGCATCGATATGGCTTATCCTAGGCRCTTTTTATATAAAATCTAATATTATTTGTTATGGTATCTCTTAGGGGTTAAAAATCATTCAGCCACGCCCTTTTTTAAAGACTTCTGGTATCTTTTAGGGGTCTTTTTGAAMATTTCCGACAAGCATCCCCAGTACTTTTTTGCCGGAGTCCCAACCCCTCCGGGGTTTTACCATTTTATACTTTTTTAATCTCACTTTTCCATTACTTTCAGGACAAATAGAATTATTCACTCATTTACCACTCATGAGACAACTTGTCGAGACTCTTCAACAGTGGGATTTCAGAGTYTGTGGAGTGTTTCTGATTGATTCTCAGTTCATGGTGGAATGCAGCAAGTTTTTCTCTGGTATTCTGTCTGCTCTGTCAGCCATGATTCAACTGGAGATACCCCACGTTAATGTGATGACAAAGATGGATTTGTTGAGCAAAAAACAAATGCAAGACATTGAAAGGTATTGACCCYTAAAAGTATCATGGATGTGCTGACTAACATGAAAATACAAATGAAATCACACTTTTTCTCAAGTTGGAATTTGTAACATTTCTTTTGTATTTCCATGTTACCTTGCACTCAAGATGATTTTAAGGGTGCATTACTGAATATATATATTTAGGTTTTTATGTGTAATGGTTTCCCATTTYGGACAATGTCTTCTCTTAAAAAATAAGATTCTTTCAGAAGACAGTGAATAAGCCACATGTTGTCTGAAGTTGGAAAGTCTGATTTTAGCCACTACRCAAACATCAAAGACGATGGCGTGAGTGAATTTTTCAATGTAGTTCACATTAACAACATTATGTAAAAATGCTACAAATGGGGTCCTATCGACGTCAACCATGTTGAGGACAGCAAAAAAATGTGCTCTSACAGTCATCTTTGATGTTTTTGTTTCTATGCTAAATCACTGTAATACTGAAGGGAAAGCCACTATCCCTGTGTTCCCATGGCCCAAAGATGTTCAAAGATCTAATAGGCCTTTTGCAATGACAGGTCACGACTCTACCCTCCATAAAAAGAGATCTTGTGTCAAAATGAACTCAAGAAATYGGAAGAGCACCTTACTGTATGTTAGTAATGTTTACTAATATCAAGGTGCTCTTTCCATTTCTGGTGTTCATTTTGACCGTCTCTTTTTACAAAGGGTAGGGTCACTTGACCTGTTGTGGCAAAAGGCCTATTCTCTTACCTATGTAATAGAACTTTTTACCAATGTAGCGGCCATCTTGAAATCTATTGTTTTAATTAAGACATGGGATTTTGAAGGGGCAACTATAGGCCCTTTGCAGTTAATGGTCACATGCCTGTACTGGTGAGCAAAATKTTTTATTTTATTTTAAATTGGTGATTCTTTTTAGCTACTTGTGAAGAACTGAATGAAACGATGRGAAACCAGCGTGTAAAGAAATGCAGTTTTATTATGATCTCTAGAAACAGGTTGTAGAAAGTTTGTCTGCTCACCAGTATATTTCACCCATGGGAATCAAGGTGTTCATTCATTTGTTCTCAGTGAATTAATCAGCATGTGATTATTGAGCTGTGTTTTTACATAACTTTACACTTTTACATGAGAAGCAAATCTAAAAAGCAATTGAATTTGTTTGAACAATATGCAAAACTCCAAAACTGCAAATTGTTTGAAAACATAACCCTGCCACTCTATGCTTCATATATTTTCTACGTTTGGTCCCTTAGYATCCCATAATTCAAGATGGCTGCTGTATCACTAAAAAGGTCAATTCCCTTTACCTTGTTCAGGTCCTTTCTACCCAAAACCCCACTCTCTGCCAAAGCAATATATAATATTCTAGAAGTAGGCATACCAGAAAAATATATATGTGCTTATTTTCCATTATAAGGTTCTGTAGGTAAGTTAATTGCAGGTAAGCTGATTCAATTTTGTTTGCCATTTACAGGTTTTTAGATCCTGATCCAAGAGTGCTTGTACATGAGCTTGGAGATGGTATGAATAAAAAATTCTGGAAACTCAATGAAGCAATTGCACAAATGGTAAGCTCTATTTTCACTTGTATTTAGTAGGACCACAAGTTAGCAATCTAGGTATAGTTCTTTTTAAGACAATTTACAAGGCATGATTTTTCTCACATACAACATGCTTATGCAGTCTTAGCTACAAAATGTACAAATGTGTAGTTCCAGAAATTATTCATTCCCCCCCCCCCCCCCCTAGTCTCCCTCGCATCCGTTTTTAGTGTTGCGTGACGACCGACACTAAAAACGGATACGAGGGAGACTACCCCCCCTCCCACAGAAGAGTTTGTATGGAAGAAATTTGGGATTTCTGGGGGTAGGGGGGTCTTTAAAAAAATTCCTCCATTGGAACTACACAATACCAATGTTTTGAATCCCACATACTCTTAATCTTATTTGAGAATAGCCCACTTATAAACGAGGCTAAGCCTGTGYAAATGAGTGTGTGGTCTTTAAAAGTAGAGGTACGGTATGCATCGAATGCAAAACTGGTGTATTGTAGGTAAAAAATCTGTGGATCAGGAAAGCACTCGTCTGTGCCCTTTAGAAAGGAGTGATATTTTAAAATAACAGGAAAAGTGATCCAAATAAACCTCTTATGACAAATGTGTGTGTAAAATTAATGTAAATGGATGAGGTAAATGCATAAAATTGAATGCCTTTCTGGGTAAAGATTTGCTTTCACACACAATCTATTTTCTGTGTTTAATAGATAGAAGACTACAGTATGGTTTGCTTTTTACCCCTCAACTCAAATGACGAAGACTCCATCAGTCAAGTTCTTGACCAGATAGACATGGCTATACAATATGGTGAAGATACTGATGTCAGAACCAAAGATTTTAACGAGCCTGACAAGGAAGATGATGGTCTTAATGATCAAGATGAAAGCTAACACTGCAGGATTAGCAAGAGTGCATACGATAGATCACAATATGACTCAATGGAATGAATGCACAAATGCTGGACCTAAAAGCTGATGGTAAAAGTTGGCTGGGAATGGCCATGGAGGAAAGGGGCTTTGTGAAAGAGGAAGCTTACACAGATTGGTTTGCTTTTGGACAAAAAAAAAGATATAATCTTTGAACTGATAGAGCATGATAGGCAATGCAGAAAACACAAGGATATGGTACTTAAGCCAGAAGAACTAGAACTGGATCAAATACATTATGAGCTTACATTGGAACTTGTCTCAYGATTAGTAATTATTTTGAAGCTATTGCACAACTAGCCTGCGTCATATCCGGAATTTTCTTCGTAAATACCRTATGGTATTTACGAAGAAAATTCCGAATGTGACGCGGGCWATTGCACAACCCAAAAAATACTTTGATTATTACTGTTGTTCTGCTCTAATTGTGAACACTTGAATTTATTTTATTTTTTATTTGTGTAAATTTACTTTTACTTTTTCTTTCTCTTTCGTCATTTCATCTCCTTGAATAGCTTTTATAGACTTTAAATGCATCTTACCCGAATTCTATTGTTTTTGATTTGTGATCTCATTGGTTAACAAACTCRAATGTTCACCATTAAAGTAGAACAACAATAAAGATTGGATGGCTTTTAAAGACTTTTATCCATTGTTATGTAAAACAYCTATCAGAATGGCTTGTTAGAAAATGGAAGTTGTGAAATTATGACATAAATTTTGATTTTCACATTGTCTATCAATACAATGTATAACATCCACAAACAGACCACAACAAACAGACCTTAACTACGAAAATCAGAGACATAGCAAGGGGGCAGGGGGTCGATGGCTCCATCCAGAACATTTTACCGAACCCGTGAACATGGCGAAGAACTCTAAAGATGAAATGTGTATTGCTGTCAAGAAAAATGGTACATGCCCCTCCCCCTATGACCATACCCCTATTCTCTTTACTGCGAAATCAGGAATTTTAAACATAATACTATAAATAGTCTAACGACATGAGATGTGAAGAAAACAAAACCTTCATTACAGGAACATAATCCATACGAAAAGGTCAGATACAATAAAATAATAATATTAAAGGTAGTGAACCATGATAATACAGTAGTTACAATATAAATAATGTTATTCGCTGAAATGGTTAGGTGAAACGGTTGGTTAATGGGGAAAAAAAGAAATTAATATGAAAACTATTTTAAAAAATGAGAAAATACATGAGAAATGAGCATACTTTAAGCTTAAGTAACATTTTTTGGTAATACCAGGAATTGAAGAGTTTTTATCAAAACTTGTTTGCCCACAACTATCTATTTCTAGAGATGTAATAATAAGATTACATTATATTTTCCAACTACTTTAGGTTCTACAGGAGTGTAATCAATAATAAAGAAATGAAGGCTGGCTTATCCAAACTGCAGAAAACTCATTCAAATCTCAGTAATTCAACATCAAAGATGAGAGTTGCATTTGGTGGAATATTACACAATGTTAAGGAAGCATTGGCATATTTTTGAAAAACAATGAGACAAAAAAAGTCCCTACATCTCTTTAAACACATGATGACCAACAAAACGTTTTTGCTTGTTTGGTTTTGTTGAATGAGGATAACTAGAGAACCTTGAGAAAACCCTCAAATCAAAGGAGGTACCTAACAAGCTCTACTCACATGTGATGGCAAGTATAGGGCAGGAATCAAACCTGAATCCCCAGACATGAGAGGGGAGTATATTACTGTTAAACCACCACTGATTCTTCTTTATTACGCTACCCCAGACTCCCCTTGAATTCTAAAAATCAATAACGTACATTTAACACAATTACAAAAGGATATACACCAGGGTATCCCTTTGGCCCATAGGCATAATCAGGAGGGCACGTCAGTTTTGATTGCTCCCCTTTACTCATCTGTGAATTTAAAAATACCGGTATATATTAAATTAAAATTATTTATTGTACCACAATTCCTCTTGCAATGAAATAAAAAGATGTGTAGTTTGCACTAATTATGGTCACAGTSCTGCCTCGCCATCTAGCTCCACCTCACCATCAAACTAAATTTCTTTTTTTCCTCATTTGCTGCACCCACTCATGAGATATCAATTTGAACACTCTAGGAAAAATTCTTTATCTCCATGCACCTATGTATTATTCTCTATATATCCATAATAATACACAGGTTAGATGGAGACCACAGGCCAGATGGACAATGGACAAATATCTAGCATAATTTTTTTTAAATCAGATCAACTTTTCATTTTTTCATAAACTCTGAGGAAACCTCTAGGCTGATCAGAAATCAAGGCATGGCTAACAGATCAAATTAAAATTAAGCTGATGAGGTTGTGGCGGGGGAAGAAAACTGACCGTGGACCCAGAGAAAACCCTCAAATCAAGGGAAAGACTATATCCCATACTATAAGGATGCTATACAACTATAGCAATATTCACTGTTTACAAACATTGACGTCAGGAAATTTAGTTTTTGCATTCAAATTTGCCAACCATTAGAACAAAAAATCTCTTTGTTTCAGTAGCCAACAGATCTCTGGTTGACACATTGATATCAATAGGTGACATCAGCGCAAACTTCACTATATGTATGTACTAGTACACATAATATAGCTACCTGGGCAACGCCTTCATCCCATCCTGAAAAACAAAAMAAAAATCAAGAGTATTAGATTGCGTAGATATATGGTTATGGTTATGGAACGTTTATTTAAACAGGGTGGTCCATGCAGCTAAAAGCTAGTATCCAGGGGGGGCCCTATTGCATAAACCTATACAAATAATAATTATAAAATATATACTATATACATACAAAGAGATATAAGAAAAACTATTAACTATCATAATATACATACAAAGAGGAAATTCATAAGGAAAATGATACATAAATATAAGAAAGATGATGTATACCTTATAAAGTTTTGCTGCAGTAAAAAATATGATACTTAACATGTACACTGTGTACATGAAAGGACCACTCCATGGCCAACCTTTAACTCAATTTTTTTWAAACAACAAGATTGCTTAACAATATTGACCGGCTTTAGCATTTCTTCATTTCCTTGATAAACAAGACGYGTAGGGAACCTTTTCATCTATAACTGCGAACCGTTCTTGTTGAACAGTTAATCTTTACTAATTATTGTAATCTAGAAGTGGAAAGATGTATTTCAAATATTCTTACCTCTTATAACTTCTCCTTTTCCAAGGACAAAGCAGAATTCCTTATTGCGATCCCTTGAAGAATCGAACTTCTTGCCATTAGTTAATGTTCCTTTAGCGAGAAAGAAAAACGTTTTAGGCATGAATCCTCCCGGGTCAAGAATAATGCAAGTCTCGCCCAGTGAAAGTACTACTTGCCTGTATAATGCACGAAAACTTTTTGGCCTTTCTTGGGAAGAGTACCTACATTTGCACACAAAAACAATGCATAAGTATCGAGAAAAATACTTTAGAACTTCAAATAATCCCTTACCATCGCCTGGTCTAAGTACTTCTCTCTTAAATTCTGCCATGATTTTTCGGATGCAAATGCTCAGTATACCGATTTATTGAACTTTGGAATATGGAACGATAAAGCATGTCACCCAGACTGCCTTGCGGGTTTATTGGGCCGGGGAATATTTGCCAGGGGGAGGGGAAGGCAAACAATTCCGTACAATAAAAGTCCTTTTTGACAAAAAAAGGTAAAGCACTTATAAATGCAAAAAAATCAAATCAAATGATTTAGTATCGTTTGGATAGAGAATATTTTTGAAGAAATTTTGTCCGTTTTTAATTTATTCATATCATTAAAAAATTCTATGGGAGCCCTGTGGAAGAATTGTCATTGAGCATGAATACATTTAAAACAATTAGGGTGGGGTGGGACATAGCGTTTAAAGCACGACATAATATCTGAACAGCATTTTATAATTTCATCCAAATATTCTGACCAAAATTTAATTTTTGAATATGAAAGATTTTTAGCGAGAAAATGCTTTTAAGAAAAATAGKTTTTTTATTTARCAAATTTAGGCGAAATATTGCGTACCTTCCCCCTCCCCCAAAGGCTATTGATTATYTTTGAGGTTTGTTGTTTTACAGTAGTAATCAAACAGCGTGCGCGAACAACGAGACGAGARAGGAATTATTTTCACCAAACATATGTCAGGAAAACCAAACTTTCCCAGCTATTCTATCGGTAATTTAAGATTTAACTCAAATTTCTGACATCAGAAATCGTTTTCATTCAAATCAATCCGAATTTCCTTGTGAAATTTTTAAGTCCCAAGTTGAGCTGGAGTTCACTTTGTCATTTCGTGTTCTTGGAGGCCATTTTTCCTCACAGACAGAAAACAATTCGCGAATTATTTAAACGAAGGACTGTTGTCTGAGTGTGTGGGAGATATCTCGCTTTGATCCCCGGAAAAAGCTTTTGTATTCAAGTTTCATCGTTTCGCCGCAGCAGGGAGATAGGTAAATTCTGTTTTATTTGATACAAAAAAGCTTGYAATTATTGTTTACATTTATTTTTGTTCCACGCAAGACAAAGCGTTASAGCACATTTTGGTTAAGAAATGATTAATCTTTTATATAAAATAAGTAGTTTGAGATTATTAGTTATATTTTTGGGGATGGAGGGATTTGATTTTTCGCTTTTCTTGTGGGGTCCGATCATAAGTCAATCGAACGATCCATTTCAATCTTATRAAACTTGTTTGTTTTAATGGCGCCTCCAGCGCTTGATAGATTTAACTCTTTTTTCACAAGCTTAAGCACAGATTAATCATTATCGTATATCGAGTTTACTTTTTCAACATTGAATTCAATRAATTCAGTGAATTGCATTCTCAGCTGTTGGTGACTTGTTGTTGTTGCTGCGCTGCTGCTGTTGTTTTTGTTATTATATTTCACAGTTGTTGCTTACGAATGTACTGCTTACCAATCATGTGACCCTTGAATGTAATAAATCTATAGCTAATGCTTGCCGTACAGGGCTGTAGCCACAAATTTCTGATTGGTCCGGTTTTCAAGGGTTTTCATTTTTCTTACATTTTTTTATTTTTCTCATATTTTTTCCCCAAAAGTTGGTCCTGTTGAAACCATAACAGTGCCTACGGCCCTGCCGTAAGAGTAGTATAGCATCATACATTAAATTGAGCATTGTCAATATGCCAAAGTCTCATTGTTCTGTTTTCTTTTAAAGTATGGGAGGAGCTGTCAGTGCCGGYGAGAGCAATGAAGAATTGGTTGACAACTTAAAAGGAGCAGGATACATCAGAACCGAAAATGTTGAACAAGCATTCCGAGATGTTGATAGAGCAGAGTATTTTCCTGAAGAGACTAAACAACATGCTTACAAAGATGTAGCATGGAAACACAAAAATGTCCATCTTTCGGCACCATGCATATATTCAGAGGTAATGGAGTCCTTAGAACTAGAGAGTGGTCTGTCATTCCTTAATCTAGGTAGTGGCACTGGTTACCTGTCAACATTAGCTGGGCTCATATTAGGGCCAAGTGGGATTAATCATGGAGTTGAGATCTTTGAAGAGGTGGTTGAATATGCTGAGAAAAAATTGGAAATATTTATGAACACAAATCCTGCTTTTAAAGGCATTAACTTCTGTGTACCAGTATTTGCAGTTGGAAATTGTTTGTGTATGGACCCATATTATCGGCAGTATGACCGTGTTTACTGTGGCGCCGCATGTCCTACRGAGTATGAAGACTACATGAAATCCTTAATCAAGAAGAATGGTATTCTTGTGATGCCATTTAAAGACAATGTAAGTTAATTACCAGATAGATAGATGATTGAACTTAGAAAAAATGCTTGCAACTTCCAAATATTACCTTACCTCGAGAGCAGATCCACCATCTTGTGAAGGGGGTTCAAAATACAAGGTTTGTTCAAGTCAAACTTAAAATAAAAGCCAAAGAATGGTTTTAGGAAACATACAGTCAACTCCTGTTACAGCGAACACCCTTGGAACCGTCCCTTGGTGTCCGTAATGCCGAGCATCTGCAATTTAATAGCGAGAATTAATTASAGTCATTYCKTTGTCAATATTTTTGCTGGGGATYTTTCTCCAGTCYGTAATAGTGAGTTGTCCGTWATRTCGGGGTGTCTGCAAGGTGTGGTGAGAGTTGACTGTATTTCCAAGTTGGCATCTATTTTGTCCCTTAAATAGTCCAACAATGCCTAGCCCTTTGACCCAGTTTTTTCCACAACCTTGGAATTGCTAATTATAACCCTTAAATCTCTTAAAGCCTGTTAGCAAGGCAACCAATATACTAATTGACATGATAGTATGTTTATTCATTTCTTGTCAAGTTTTCGCACTAGTTATGTAAGATGATCATTCATTTCTTGTCAAATTTTCGCACTAGTTATGCAAGATGCGGAAAGTGAGTGAAACCGAATGGACTACAGAGTCAGTCTTACCAGTTTCTTTTGCGCCAATCATCATTGAYGACAAAGATAATACACCATTAATAAAAATTGGTAAGTGGCCTACACGTTCTAGTAGAGCACATCACATATTKGTGCAACCTTGACATCTTCCAGATATCTGTTCTTAGTTTAGCTATGAAATCCAATTGTGTGGTTACAGAAAATGTCCATAATTTTTATCATCAATGTTGTCATCATCATCATCATCATCACCATCACCATCATCATCACCATCACCATCATCATCACCATCACCATCATCATCACCATCACCATCACCACCACCACCCATTACTGGTATGTTTATGCTAGTTATACAAAGGTTTCAAGGGTTTGTTTTGAGTGGCATATGTATGCTATGAAATATTCCACAAGTCAATTGTAATTTCGTGAATAATCACAAGCCTCAGGTAAAAGGAAATACAAGTGACAAGTGGGATTTTCCATGTTGTGCCACAACAAAGCATTTTATATTAACTTTACCCCAAGCCAATGAAAATACCTAGGCTGCAATGCCTAATGGGAAGAAACAGTGGAATATCACTAAATATACTATAGCTTTCCTGCATTCGGATTGCATGGCTGTACTGTATTTTCAATAGTGTGGAATAAATAATATTTAGTCAAATCCAACTAGTGATGTATCATCAATGCTGCATTTTGATTGGATGAGCCGGCTTTGATAACAAAAACATTGATTTTAACTTTAATTTAAAACTTGTTTCTATATATATATTATTTTTACCAACTAGTTGGATTTGACTAAAAACAATTAGTCATTGAGCCCAACTGGCCTATGAGAAAATAGGCCATTTGGCCTTCAGCATCATGGGCTATGAACTAATAGCCTATTCAGGCTTGAGGACAAATCRCTAAATATAATGTCCATTATATCACTTGGTATATACAGCCATTTAAAAAAAGGTTGAATACTAAATACTGCATACTGAATAGTGCTTTCCCAGACCAAAGTGCATTGTGGGTCTTGTTAATTTGAAATAAAAAGTAAATATACAGCAATTAACTCTCTACATGTAGTTAGTATATTGTTTCAGATGGAATACACTAAAAATAGAATAAATTATTATTATTAATCCTACTTTAGACAATGTCACTATGACCCACAATGCCCTTTGGTCTTAGAATGCACTATTCAGCATACAGTATTCAGTATTCAACCTTTTTTGAAATAGCTGTATAAGTATTTTAACTAATACTTTTCCGTTTGTKGTTTTTTTCCCCCACAGCATCAAAAATAAAATCCCTTCAAGACCTTTGTCGCCTTGTCATTCTCAATCATATTGGATTAAAAAGACTCAAGAAAGTAGCAGAACTACCCCTTCCACCATCATTGCTCTCTTATCTAAGCTACTTCAGAGAATATTGACATCACCCAACCATTATACACAGCTTGACAAGATCCAGATAGATTTGAACCATCGTTGTGTCTTGATGGCAGTGAAATCCTTTCAGTCATATATTTGCTTCTGTGCAACTTGAAAAGTGCCAAGGGAAGGTATGCTTTTCATTGAGGCTGTGGCTTCAGAGGGGACAGTCCC